CTCACTCGCCTCTCTCACTTTATACAATTGATCTTTTTGTATATGTATACCAAAGCAGATTATACAACTGTTTTCTTTTGTATATGTATAGCGAAATATACATATTTATATTTGCTATGGAGCACAATTATGCAAGCTTTGCTATAGCATACAAATATGAATTTTGTGTTTGCTATATGTGAAAGTTGCTCTAAATTTAACAATCGAGATGGGTAATTATTTAATGGAGACTAAAAGTGTTCACTTTCAGCAAATTTTAAACGATCAAATCTATTCAATTGATACTTAAGGGGCTACTTTGAATCTACTATCAAAAACAAGGGACCATTTTGTCATTTTCCCCAACATTCTATGTTATGGAAAAACTACTAAACAACATATCACAAAAATAAAGATTACTTGTTGAACTGTGTTTAGTTGAGAGTAAATTGTTGGAAATAAGTGGTCTGTGTTCATAAAAATAAACCAAGATGAAAACTTGTAGAACAGTGTTGAGCTTCCTATGACCTGCCATGACTCAAAACAAGAGCTGTAAAAGCAAAATCCCATAGAATCAATTAAATTCTGTTGATGCAGTAATTCCACATCCTTGAGTGTGATCTGAATGTCCTATTATGTAACAAATTAAATTTTGGTATGTTCCTAAGTTATCATGTTAGACGTTATGCGCTTATCTCAACCATGTAAATTGATTGAAGCATAGAAACAGGCTACTGCCACAGTGAAGCAATGGGCATTTATGGTCTGGTCTGTATAGCATCTCTAGGGAGGTTCCATTCAGAAAGTAGAAGTCTTGAAGATCAGAAGATGGTTCAATGAACCACATATGTATGCAACTAACATGAAATCTTTCCAAAGAACATACGTTGTATGAGTCAAGGAATTAGTTAACCATTTGACAGAAATAATGAAAAACAGAATCTGAATGTAAGCCTCTAAGGTGCAAATTAAGAATGAAGATTACAGCTACTTACCAGATTTCTTCAGTCGAAAAGTTTGTAAAACAGCTGTAGCAATTTAATTTCTCCTCCTTTTGTAATTCTCCTGCAGATTATTCCTTCACTTGCAGACCTGAAAATAAAGCTTTACTGCAAAATTTTAAAAAGGGGAGACCTCAGGCTGATAAACTATCTTGATGTCAAAGAGGAAACTTAAGGAGGGGAAATCCAGGATCTCCACCAACGTACCTGCTATTATAAAACTGCACTAACTCAGTGATGCATCGTAAAGCTACTTGTTCATGTTCAGCACCTCAAAACAGCTAGTTACGGCTTTTATAAAAGAAGCAACTTTAATATAAATGAAGAACGGTCTTAGTCTCAATGCATACCTCTCTATTTAGCTGAGGAAAGTGACGGAAGCTTCAAGGTATAGGAATGCTGGGTGCTTAGATCAACTTGGAGCATAAGTTCTTCAACGTAAAACGTCAAAAGTATTGACATGACAAATTTGCAAATTCGATGTGAGAAGAATAATAGCTCTCTATTCAATTGAATATCCATAAATAAAATATTGAAGGCAGGGTGATGCATTCAGCAAGGCAGTAACAAACTAAAAACTGAACGAAGTAATTCTCAGATAATGAAACATCAAAAGTTTGCTTGACCATTACAGAAATAGTACATTCAGACAGAAGTGAATAAATCTCATTATTGAGTTAAATGAGATGAATATCTAAATTTTAAAAAAATCACGGAAGCTATGAGTAATAAATAGAAGAGATATTACACAAGAAAGTACATTCATCTAAAATGATGAACTGCCTTCTGAAAACTTCTCTGACTTATTCATAGTTATGTTGCAGTTTCTTTCTTTTTACCTGGCTACCTGTAAATGTTGAATCTCCTGTTAACCAATTATGATTTTGTATAACTGGTCGGAGTCCAATGCTTCCTCCATCCGTATTTCCAACGTTAGATATGTAGCAGAAGCAATATCACCTACTGATTTTACCATCAAAGACATCCAACTATCATGAAAACATACATAGGGTTCATTCTATGACAACTGAGAGAACCGCTGCCCTCACGCTTTTTAACTTAGTCACTTCACTCTTTATTTAAGACCAAAATTTTTCAACGACCGGCTTCTCTTAAACCCCCACTTGATTGCATGTCGAATCCTTGCAGAACTGTTTTTCCACATTGCCATGCAATTTATCCAGAATTCTCCATGTTACAGAATCAGGTTCTAGTCCATTCTTTCTCATTTCACCAAGAATCTGATAAGCTTCTCTCTTCCAGCCCAATGTGCAAGCACCATTAATAACAATGTTGTAATTGATGACACAAAGAGGAACCCCACAATCTACTAATTCATATAAGAAATCACAAGCATCATGCAGTTTACCAGAGCGACAAAGCCCCTTGAGAATGGCTGCATATATGTAACTGTCATGAACTTTTGAGGGCCAAACAACATCGTTCCAGAAACTTTTGGCTTCATCAACTTTGTTGGATTCAAACAACCCATCGATAATAACAGTATACGTCGTGCAATCAGCAACAATGCCACCACTTAACATGCTATGGAAGACCTCCATAGCTTCATCTATCCGATGTAACTTAAATAACCCCTGGATAACTGCATTATATGTTACAACATTGGGCTTTAAACCTTTTTCAGGCATAACTCTATGCAATAACTCAAGAGCTTCTTCAACCCTCCCGAGTTTTAAAAACCCACTAATAACAGTTGTGAACGTCACACCATCAGGGGCACAAAACTTCTCCATCATCATATCTTTGAAAACCTTTTGAGCCTCTTCAATTCTTCCCATTTTGCAGAAGCCATTAATAACAGTATTCAGGGTGATCACATCTGGTTGACATTGAGTTTGAAGCATGGTGACAAGGACATTTAAAAGCTCAGTTGGGTTGTCAACAACACAAAGAGCTCTGAGATATATATTATATATCCTTGTTTTGTCATTGTCTTTCTTATTTAACATCATATTGACAATTTCCTTGGCCTTAACAAGATCATTTACATGACACAAACCTTCTACCAATAACTTGTAAGTAAATTCTGATGGCAAGTAGCCAAATTGAATGCCTTCCTCCAACAACTGATATGCCCTGAAACAATCGCCTTCCTTGACGAGACCATGTACAATTGTATTATATGACACTAAGCTTGGATCAAATCCTCGTTTTCTCATTATATAAACTATCCTAGCAGCCCCATTATACCTCCCAAATCTACAAAGAGAATCTATCATTTGTGCATATACAAAATCCTGAAACACACTTTTACCCTGAGGCATATCTTCAACAATATTAAATACTTCATGGAAGAACCCTTCCCTACACAAGCAATTGATCACGTTGCAGAATGCTGCATTGTTTATATGCATATCCTCTTCAGTGCGCATCACACTCCAAAGCTTCCCAATCAGTTGTTTTCCATGGTCAATGCCCCTCTTTCGAAGAATCCCCCGAATCAAAGCACTATAAGTGAGTGCATTAGGTATCACTCCGCACTCAGACATTTCAGCAAACAGCTTCTCAGCTTCCCGAACCTCGCCAACCCCGCAATACCCACAGATCAAAGTAGTATACGAAACAGCATTAGGAGAATGCCCTCTCTTTCTCATATCAACAAACAGCTGATGGGCATCTCTATTTCTTTCTAAAGTACAGAGCTGATGGATTAGACGGTTGTAATTCATTAACGAAGGCACAAACTGGGGCTTCTGGTAGAACAAAGCGGAAATAACACGCACAGATTCTTGCGGAGTAGCTGCGTAAAGCAAGCGAGCAATAAGGACATTGCAGGTTCGCTCGTCAGGGACAGTTGACTGGGAAGAAACGGCGAGAAGAAATCGCTGGTGGGCTTCGGAAAATCGATGGGAATCACAGAGAGCGTGAACAATGCTGCTGAGATTGAGAGAGTCAGGATGATAACCCTGAAGTCGAAGCCCATCAAGGAGTCGAAGAGCTTCATCTACATTTCCATCAATAGCACAAAGCTTATGAATTCGTCTGGTCCAGTAAGCTCTGTCAAATTCTTGTCCTTCAAAGCTTTGTTGATTGGTTAAATGGAACTCAAAGGTAGAGAAGAGGGAAAGAGATGAAGTGAAAGTTTTAGCAGAGTTTTGCAGAGGTATCAGAAATGGAAATTTGCAAAAATGCATTATTACAGTAGAAATGCATTGATTGGATTGTTGTGAATTTGAATTGGAGAAAAGAAATGAGCGAATTGCTCAATTGATCGATACATCGCTTATGGTGGGAAGAAGGAAAAAAAGTGAATTTTCAGTAGTTGTTCAAATGATTTTAAGAAAATAAAGAGGGAAATGCAAAGATAGTCGAGTGATGAACTTTGTAAAATTTTGTAAGTTTTAGCCATTAAAACAACTTAGGTATCCGTTTAAAATTTAGCTTGTCAAAGTCTAACTTCAAACATTTCGAAAGCAAACAAAACTTTTGATATTTGCCTTTTGAGGGCAAACTTCCGACATTTTGTGTGAAGTTATATCAAGCATCTCTTGTCTCTCAAATATCTTTTGTGAAATATCGAAGACATTGATAATATGTTTTACAAAAATGAAAAAAAATCCAACAATAAGCTACATTACTCACTTTTTGTATTGAAAAATGTAGACCAACGTCCTCAAATTTGCACTTATGGTAATTTAAGGCTAAGGTAATGTTGAAAAGCCTCAATTGGTTATGGCTACAAATATGAAGTGCTATGCATACTGGCAGCCCAACAGAGTTACTTCAGATATAAATGAACCTTGTTGGTTCATAGTTTGGGCCATGAGGTCGGCCCATGCTCATACGAAAAAAAACTATAAATTGTAAGTGTATCAATATGATTAAAATATATATATACCATAAAATATTAAGCAAAGTTATTGTCATTTGACTTTAAGAAAAAAATTATGACAACTAAAAATGAACGAAATGAATTATGAAAGAGATTTTATGTCAAGCAATAGGAAGGGAAAAACTTTTAAAATGATGGATAACAGTTTTTTTCTACTAAAGGCACAGGATTCACCTTTTATTCGAAACGCGTATCCATCACTTTTCATGCCACAATATGGCTGATTTAGATTTTAACCAATGTCTCTATGTAATTATTGAGATATTTTCCTTATTTTTAAAAGTTATATAAATATAGCCCTTAAACGATTATATTTTCAGACCTTCAGGTCTAATATTTGCTTATGTATCGTTTAACTTTATACATTTTAGATCGTGATCTAATATTTTCTCACATTATTTATGATAAATTTCAAATCGTGATCTAAACCAATAAAGAAAGCAACAAAACGATTCTAATTTCTATCATTGGTGTAACACTTTTGGCAAAATTATACAAGGTCACAAACAAATATTCTTTTTTTCTTATTAAAAATATTGAGTTTGAATTTTGGATATGAAGTCACATGGTTGAAAATGTCTTATCCCTCAAAGTTAAACATTATGAGAGAATTCAAATTAATCGAGACCCAAAATTAGTGTTCATTATAGCGTGAGAAGCAAAAGGAAAAAATTAGCAAAACGACCGCATGCAGTTAGAATGATTTCTTAAGACCAAAATTGAATCCGTGCATAATGTGAGTCCAATGAAATACAATTGTCGAACAAGAAATAGATAGAAAAGTTTTTGAGTAATAAAGTTAGAAAAATAAAAAGTTGTTAAAAATGAAATAAACAACGAAAGCAGAGACATGTTGATTTGTTAAAATGAAATAACTCAATTTGAAATATTTTTCTGTCTTTTACCTCTGTCCAACATGACACGTTACAAAGATTCCTCTGCAAAATACGACTTACCTTTTTCCACTGTTCATCAATAGGAGTACTAAATCCAACGTAGTAATTAATCGTATAACTTGCGTAAATTTCATAGCGTAAGAGTTAATTATATTATTTTCTTATATTTTTCATAATTACTTAAAATTTATGAATTTCGCATACATCACTAAACTTTCTAAATACATCAACTGACAATCGGATATATAGGTGACAAATGTATTCGAGGGGAGAGAGACATATCAAAGAGGGGATAGGATATTCGAATACATCACTAGACTTCCAAATACACCAATAGAAATATGGATACATGGGTGAAGGATGTATCCGAAAAGAGATGAATATATCCAAGAAGGGATAGAGATGTATCAAAGAAAGTAGAGTGACGTATGTGAGTAAAATTTAGAAATTTTGTTAAATGATAAGAAATTTTAGAGATTATGATAAAATAAGATGTACATTTAGGTAAATTTTCGGCAATCTTTCAAGTTGCTTATTTTCAAATTTAATTATTGTTAATAGATAATTTTATACAACCGTTGCTCTACGATCGAAAAGTGTTGGTCAAAGGCTTAATTCGTTTAAATCTCAAAAATAATTGTGAGTAAAATTATTCTGCAACTACCAAGACTAAAATTGTCTAGAATAATTGCTGCAATATATCACAACTTAAGACATAATAACTAAATCCCAATTAATTAAAAAGGTCCACCACTAGTGACAATAATACTAATGGTGATCATTATAATACAAAATACCAGAAGTAATTAAGATAAACGCAGGCTAGGAATCTAACCTAGAGAGATAAGATGAAAGACAAAAATCAGGAGTACTATATATTTGATTTGATCTGATGACAGTGAAAAAGAAGACAAAGATTAATGGTGAGGACAGAAAGTGAGGACGTAGCTGCTACCAGTGCAAGTGGAAATACTAGTGGGATCATCGTAAGCATATGAATAAGCTTTGGGGCAAGCAGTTTTGAATATCCTTGAGTAAGCTGTTGGCTTGCAAGTTTGTGGGTTACCAAAAGTTCCTGTGCAACAATATCTTGGTGAATTGAAAGCTGAACATGCACTCTTGCAAGCCACCACTTGACTCTTGTCATGAGAACGAACTTGTAGACCTGCTGGACACATTGTATTCAAGTCACTCACACATCCAGCATAGCTGCATTTCCCTGTCAAAACAGACAGAAAAAAAAAACTATCAAGTAATTTTAAAGGGTAAATCTTCAATGCCAGAAATTTGATATTCGGTATTCGCATTGGTAATCTAAAGTGGATTTTTGTTGCTACTGTAAAGGCAAAATCAAAAACCCCGATCCAGTCATACAAGTGTAGATCTAGAACTACGAACTCCCACTGATTAGGTGAAAATTCATCTAATCAACTAACGGAACGGAGCTATTAATATTGTTTGATCTAAAACTATCAGCCTAATACTCGAGAAAAGAAAAGGGAAAGGGGTGATAATTTACATAATGACGAAATTAACCCTGCTAAGAAACTGAGAACTTGAAGAAAAAAAAGAAGTATCGAAGAACTAATCAAGGACAAATAAGTCATTTAAATATTTTTAGGCATGATTTTCACCTTTGCCTCTGACTGGAGTTACAGAAATGGCGAGATTGTAACCATCTACGAGACTCACATCGTAGAAATCCTGTTCATTGCCCAGAGTAATCTCAGCGAGTGTAGCCGGAGGGGTTCCACCAATTCCATTACAAAAAAGTGAACCACCACAGTCCCCAGTTGCACAGCGTCCACGGCCAGTAGCATCAAAAGCGCATCCATGACGGCCCCAAACTCTACCGGACCATCCAACCGGCATACTAAGTCTGTATGCCTTATTCGGCGGAAGCTTAAACCCTCCACGAGCCAGAATCGGCTTACCTGCACTTGGCTGGATCCCTGGCCACACCGGGTGGCTACATTTGTTGAACAATGTCATTGTTGTAGCTGAAACTGAACCAAAAACACTAGCATTAGTAAGAAAAATTAAAGCAGACAAATAGCTATTCGTGCAGGAAATGAGTGTGTACCTGAAATGTGGGAAGCAAAGATGGTGAAAAAGGCCAAAACTAGAAAGAGTGTGAGAAATCGATCTGCCATGGCTGAAATTATGGAGAAAGCTGGATGCAGCAAAATGCTAGTAAGAAGTGTGTACACCAGCTAGGTAATGGCAAATAGAAATGGGCTTTTTATAGAAAAAGCAATAAGTAAGAAACAGAGAAAAATGGAGGTATACTAAAATGTAGGGTTACTTTGGATACTGAGAATGAACAAAATTGGGAGAGAGTGATATAACAAAAAAGATGGGGAACGGTAATTAAGTGGGCCTTTTGTGAATAAATGAAAGTTGCTAGCTGTAAAAGTTAAAAAAAAACGGAAAAAGATCAAAAGGGTTTATACCTCAGGAGGTCCTCTTCCTCTTTACTCTTTAGTTTCTTTTTCTACTTCCTTCGTTCTTATTTAGTTGTCGTCATTTAAAATTTTATCGTCTTTAAAAAAAACTCAATAAATTTACCATTATACTCTATTTAATATTTTTTAAGTTAAATTTTTAATAAATAAACATAAATTAATTATAAACTAAAAACTATCAAAAATAAAATAGGAAAAAAGTATCACTATGTATTGATTTTGTGAAGTGACAACTGGCAAATATTAAGAGACATTTATTTTTAATAATGATAACATTTAAATAGAAATAGTAAAAATATTATTTATTACGACAATAATTTTAAAACGAATAACTCAAATTTATGTGGCAGTATTCAGACTTCGAGAGTTTAATAAGTTTTTCTTTTTCTTTGATTGTGAATTTTGTACATGTCTTTTGAATATTCTAAAAATCCAACTTGATAACATTCTAATAAAATCATGTTTTTGACGCCCCTTCGCTTAAACATGCATTCGACCCGTTATCTTTAAGCTATGTATACCTTAACTTCGATTAATTCAGATTTTGATCATTAAAGATTTGTTTCCTCTATTTCTCAAATTTCTAGCCTAAAATTAATCCCAAATGTTGGGTAGAGACTAGAGAGGAGACCCAACAAGGGGAGATCAATGATAGAGATGGAGTAGTAGATACTTGCATGTAATGTCAATTGTTAACTCATAACAAATGCAAAGATGGAATCTTGACATAATAATTGTACTAGATAAAAGAATAAAACAATGTAATTATTAGAGTATTACTTCCGTTTTCATATTATTGGGTGTACAGTGACTTGACAACATCTTCTAAGAATTTTTTTACGACAAATGTATTTTATTAAACTAATTTAGTAATTATATTTTAAAATTTTATAATAAACTATTATTAATATAGTTATTTAATACACCCTCTAGTCTAGTGACGTAGATATAAATAAAAAACTGTGGTCAATAAAATATTATTCGTTTAAAAATTCTATTATATATAATTTCCATGTTGGAGGTCTCAAGTTCCTTGAGATTTCCATGTTAGAGGTCTCAAGTTCAAAACTCTTTACTAGCGAAAGCAAAGGATTTGTCTTCTAGGTTAAGCTTGTCGCACTAGGTTTGCTTAATACGAATTACCTCTCCTATGTGATTTGCTAGCTATTGCATAGGAGCATAGGTTTTACCCCGTGCGCACTCATAAAATGAATAGCGACTGTGCATAAAAAAATTTCTAACTTTAGGAGATTGTGTTTCCCTTGTCATAATTTTTTTGTTAACTTTAGCCGATT